GGCCCCAAAGGCTTTTTGAGTGTGATGAGATATATCTAGGATATAAATAATAAGGTAGAGGGAAGTTCTAATGGTTTTGCTATTTTTCTATCATTTTTATTAATGGTGCTTTACAGCTTTGAAGATCTATTGCACTCTGGAAGTGCTAAGTATTATTTAATAGTAACTGTTTAAAATGACTGAAATAGAAAAGGTTACGGTCTTGGGGGCTGATTAGGGAAATAACTGAATTTAAGCCCAGTTATTTACTGCTGTGTGTCCTTCTGGGGACATGACTTTAGCATTGTTTACATTTTAAAATACAGTTCTGAGTTGTGAAGGATCAATGGAGAGTAAGAACAATGACTGATTAATTCTTTTTCTTCAGAAAGATTTTAGTTAAAATAATAAATGAGAAAAATAATTGTAGACCTGTAAGTGTAAGTAAAGGCATTAAAGCTGCCTCACGGGCAGGGAGGTTTAGTTGGTTCATCTGTGAATTTGTTTACGCAGTTGGAACTTCATTCACGAATTGTACGTCCAGGATGTAACCTCTGCTATATGTAGCTCGTTTGTTTGAAATAACTACAATAGCTTAAAGTTTGACCGGTTTTAAAACATGGCACAAAGTCTTTTCTTTCTTAAATGTTGGAGTCATACCTGAACAGTACCTCGTGTGACCATGCAGTGCTTAAATAATCCTGTTACTTTATACAGTTACTTTATATAGTCCCACTCAAGTATTATTCTCGTTATGTTGCAAACAACAAAAAAGGCGTCCTTTTCTGGAGAGCTGCACGTTTCATATTTCTTCTGTCTTAACTGTCTACAGCTGGCCTTCTTTCTAGCTGTGAGCTTTCTTCCATAACATTTTAAAGCTACTCATGGCATGCCTGTGTTCCGAAAGTTGTTGGCCTTAGCCATGACTTCCCTGCCTCCTCCGTCACAGGTGTTTAATGAATGCACCCATTAAATTTGTGTTTGTCCAGTATCTGAACATAATATTTCTTGGTTTAGATGACCAAGTTGTGATCTGTGTTGCTGCATGGAGTAAAGGGGTTTTGTAGCTAGTCCATGTTGCAATCAATTATAGTTGAACTAGACAGTATTTAGATGCTTTGTTGTAACTATCTAAAATAATTAAAAGAGAAATTATATATTTCAGACTGTGTACTTTTGTGTGTGAAGTCAAAACTTATTAACCACAGTAGACTTTCTGTTATTTTGTTGATAATCTCCTGATGTATTCTGCAGGCATTCACAGAGGGGAAGGAAGGTCTATGATGTTCCTTTTGCTGAATACTGCTTCTCCTATAGTGAAGTCTTTCTTTCATCCTTTTAACCAGAAATAACTGTAACTATTCATTAGGGAAAAAAAAAAGGGGAAAAAAAAAAGAAGGAAAAAACCAACCCCAAACCCAAAGATAGTAGGGCAGCTTGAGCCAATGGGAAAATGGAGGGGGAGAGTACAAAAACTAATTTATTAGTGAAAAAATAGCTGGAACTCTTTTGGTGGTGTTGTTTCAGAAGCTTTTAAGTTATTTTAATGATTATTTTGAGGTGTCGTAACTTCGCCTAAAAAGCATCCTGAACCTACAAGAGTTTGAAACAGTGCTGGGAAATGCAGGTTGGCCTTTTCAGAAGACACGACTAGGAGTCTGATGTCGTATTTAACCACCAGTTGCTCCTTTCATGACTTCCTGCCTGGATTTTTTCCTGTACGTAGGCAGTTTCTGTTTATGGGACTGCAGGACAGCAACAGTGAATCAAGTAATGGTATTGTGAGAGTCCACGTTCCCAGTTTTTCTATTTAACAATTCATCGTAGAATGGCACCATCCCATGGGTAACAACAGTAAGTGTTAAAGGAAGCTTGCCAGTGTGTGAGGGTACTTGAAGTCTGAGAAGTATCATAGAATGGGTTGGGTTGGAAGGGACCTTAAAGCTCATCCAGTCCAACCCCTGTCATGGGCAGGGACACCTCCTGCTAGACCAGGTTGCCCAAAGCCCCGTCCAACCTGGCCTTGAGCACTTCAGGGAAGGGGCACCCACAACTTCCTTGGACAACCTGTACCAGTGTCTCTCCACCTCACAGTAAAGAATTTATCTAGTCTAAATCTACCCTTTTCCAGTTTAAAGCCATTCCCTGTTGTCCTAAACTATAGATTGGTGAAGCTTGCTGCCTTTGATCTCTTGGAGCAGTGTTTGGACAGGAACTTCTGACTTACACTCAAACCGAAGTCACCTCTCTCCAAGAGGAAGCCACTTTCTTCCATGGGCGTTGCTGCTCATTGGCTGTTGGAGGAAAATAGAGGACTGCTGCTGGGGGAGAGTGTGACCTTGTATTGTGTTAAAGTACATGTGTAAGTACGTCCTAACTGTGCAGCTTCATCTTGCAGCTAAGTCAGAGGTGGTGATCATTCCCCTGCTTGTCACTGACGCTGGGCTCCTGCCTCCTTTGTGTTCTTGTTGCAGAGGGCCAGGTCAGAGTTGAACAGGCAGAAAACAAAGCTTGAAATTTGTTATTAAACTTTATTAGGATAGCTTGACTTTCAAACTAATTAAAGCACTGCTGTTTGCCTTGTTTCCAAAAATACTTTGTTTTTAATATTGCAATCACTTAGCTAAGAGAAGTAGTAGTAATTAAAGTTCTTCTCAAGTTGCACAATTTAGTTTATTTAAAAATGCTTTATATAGTTTTTAGATGCAGTTATAAATGTTCACTTTGGAACTACCTGAAGATTGATAGCGATGCATTTGAAATACATTATTTTTTTATTGATTCTTAATGTAGTAAATTACTGAAGTTATTTGGCAGCAAACAGAAATAGCCAGTGATGTTGTTCACATTTATTTCCCTGATAGCATCACAATTTGCATTAATTGCATTGCAGCTGCACTCACTTATATTAAAAAGCTTCTAGTATAATTAATCCTTTTTACTTCAAATAATTTTGGCACAATTTCTAGCAATAAACACTCATAAAAGACAGACACTTGAAAAATAACATACAAGTTTCTTCAATATACCTATTGCTGTTTTTTCCTGACAGGGAATTATTGATAGGCTTCTAGGATCAAGTGTTGCAAGTGGCTAAGACTTAAGACCAGTTTGAAAAATGCTAAGTGGATTATTTTGCATAAAAAATAGACAGGTTTTGAATCTGTGTAATTAACCTGTGTTTAGAAAATACCTTGATTTATGTCTACATTTGTATTTCAGTTGCATACATTATGGAAATTTAATTTATAATCCATTTAGCTGATGTGATCATAGTTTTTAGTGCTATCATTTATTAGTCCTTGTATATTAAATGCTCTAAAGGCTTAAACCTGCCTTGTGTAAAAAATTACACCTCTGCATTTACATTTTATGAGTCATAGATGGAATTCCATTTAAAATTCGGGTAGCTTTGATATATTTAAGGAATTACAATGGCTTTATTGTTACTAATGCAGGAACAGCAAACACTGACCTTATACATTGCAAATTAATGATTTATCCCTCTAGTTTGCTTTTAAAGTCAACTATACAAATGAGGATTTCGACTTCTACACCTTGAATAAATCATATAGCTCTAAATATAATGCACCCTTTGGCTTTAAACTTGTTATTCTCAATTCTTTCTGCAAGGTCTAACTCACCTCATAGAAATGTTCTTTCAAAAGTTGAAAGAATTGTGTGTATTTTTCTTAATGTCTTTGTGGGAACATCACTGAGAGATTACAGCCGCATTTCTTCTTATTTTTTTTCCTTTTTTTGCTCTTTGTGCTTCCTTTTCTAAGTTTGCAGCAGATTGTGGAGGAATTAAGTAATGCCAAACCATTGCTCTTGTAAAGTAAAAATAGCGCAGACATTGACGCTGTGTTGATGATGCCTTTTCTGCTCAGCCTGGCAGTGATACTCATGGTCCTGGAAGGATCTGGTGGTGGTTGTTAGAGATGCTGATGTGGCAAAGTGGGCAATGGGAAAGGCTGTGCACAGACAGCACGTTTCAGGGATGTCTTTTTAAAGGCAGTGGTCTTTTCTTTTTCCTTTCTCGAAATGAAGTAATGATTTCTAGCTCAGAAGTTTCCATCTCTCCTTCTTTTGAGAGCTACCAGAAGTACTTTTTTCTTCCAACTAAGAAGAAGGTTTTTTTTGTTTGAAAAATACGCAAAGTTGCTTTGCATTACATTGAAACGTGACCATGCAGCAGGCCAAGAGAGTGGTACTGCTGGAGCTTTGGGCATTTCTGACAATCTTTGGGGAAAGTCTCAGTTTACAGTAAAGGGATTTTTGGTTTGTTTTAATGAGTGTTGCATGTTTGGGCAAGGCTCATTTTTGATTCAGTGACGTTTTGACAGGGGTAGCAGTGTCAGGCGTAGGAAGGATTGGACAGATGATGCAGTCCACTGGTAAGCTCTCAGCTTGGAAATGAGGATGGTTTGACAATGCCATTCAGCAGTCGAATTCAGCAAAAGTAAGCAGTCTGTGTAATGCGCAACAGAAATGGTTTATTTGGATTAGTTTCAGATGTACTGGTTTTATGTAGTTATTTTTAAGGGGCAGACTATTTTATGTGTAGCAATTGATATGAGTGGAAAAATATGGCTTGTGATGATGCTATTGGAGGTAGGGACACTAACTTTTTTTGGAAGATATTCTTGGTGCAGTTGCACTGTCCCTTAGCAGACTTTGCTGTTCTTGCCAGTCTCTGCAATTGATAAGTTCCTGTTTGCTATCGTACTTCAGACAGGAAGATTAATGATAGATAAGCAGTGACCTTACCTTTTAAATCACCACATAATAATTTGTGACATTTGAGAGCTTGGTATTTCACAAGAATATTCAAATGTCAAACTTAGGATGAATATTTTTAAATACGTGCAATATCTGGGTTGTTCCCGTACCAGAAGATCCTATTCAGGCACCAAGTTAAGAAGAAATTACCACTAAAATTGGAGGAATAGACAGTCTTCAGAATTCCTGCATGTCCAACAGTAAAACCTAATGTGCTTTTAATTGCCTTTTTTTTGCAGGCTCTTTATGAAAATATGCTGGTGGAGCTGCCATTTGCTAGTTTTTTCCTCTCAAAATTACTGGGGACAAGTGCTGATGTTGACATCCATCATTTAGCTTCATTAGATCCAGAAATGTACAAAAATTTGCTTTTTCTCAAGAGCTATGAAGGGGATGTGGAAGAACTTGGACTAAACTTCACTGTGGTAAATAATGACCTGGGGGAAGCACAGGTAAGAAGGCTTTAACTTTATTCTTTTATGTACGACTGATGAATCATTACTACCCCTACCAATTCATTTTTTAATTTAAAAGTGATAGGGAACAACTGCTTAAAGTGCTCTGTGCTGTGAGTATCATCAGGATTTTGACTTGACATTTAGAGTGGACAGTAACTGTTCTTGTACTTAAAATAATGATGATGATTTAAAGTTCTGGTCTTTTAAGTAGTAAACGATAGTGATTACTTTGTAGCGGTCATACATGAAAAGTTCTATTACCCAAGATAATTTCTTGAACAAAATATTTTATGTTGTTTCTTTGTAGTTCAAATAGTTGCAGCAGTTAGATGATACGTAAACTACAGAAGTACTGCCTGGCTTTGGAATTTCTCCTTTAGCTGTAGTTTTCAAAGTAGAGGGCTTGAAGTTAGACTTTCTTTTTTTTAATCCCTTATTTTTGTTTGGTTTTTTTTGAGGGGAGGAGGCTTTGTTGTTTGGTTTTTTTGTTGTTTTGGGGTTTTTTTGAGGGTCTGAGACATCAGGTGACTCAGAAGGGAGAAATGGGTGCTTTTAAAAAGCAGGCAGTTAGGACTAGTGAATTAGGTCCTTAAGTATGAGTTCTTAATGCAATTGTACTGTATAATTTGATTATGGTTTTTATTTGCTCAGTTGTGAGTACTGAAGGTCATTTACGCTCTAGAAGTGAATACTACAATAGAAAATCCATGTCGCTAGAGCTTGAAAAGTGTGCCCTTATGTGCTAACACAGTTAACCTCCTTAGTTCTCTTTCATTGTTGAACATTTAAAACTGTGTGCTAACATACAAGGAGACCCAAGTTAGGGGTGTTGCCAGCTCTACCTACTGCAACACAAACTTGTAAGAAGTTTTTTGCCAAGAAGCCTGATTTGTTTGTTAAAATTGTCTAAGGGCTGTGGCTGGTATTATCAAGACTTCTGATTTTGAATTGTTTGGCGTAACTTTAAAAGGAAGATTAACTATAATAGGGAGTTTCTGAGTAACTAAATGAAATACACATTGGCTATTCTGATGCTGTATGGATGTTTATACTTGGAGGGAAAACACTGTACCCGTGAAGTACCAACCCTCTTTTAATGAGACTGTGTGTGTCAATGTAGTCCAACAGAACGGATTGGTTCTTGCAACTGCCTTCTGCATTTTAATGCAGCAAGTTATTTTTATACTTCATTTCATTACCTCCTATGGGTAAATACATTTTTGTCTGGTATTTGACTCATGTTACTGTTGCATACTAGTTAATTGTGTCAAGGTAAGGCTAATTCACTTTGGGAAAAGAGCTTAATTTGCACTCCTTAGTTGAATGTACATTATCTCTAGTTTTCAGCTAAACAACCACTTTAGTGTCTAATAAATTAGTGCCCAATAAATGCATCGTAAATCTATCATTGTAAATAGCTATCCTCATGACAGTGTCCATCCAGCAATGGTGGCACAAAAGCATTATCTGCAATGAAAGACGCATTCAGAGGGGGCTCTATTGCCTCTGTCAGTAGAAATTCTATTATCAGCGTATTGATTCCAATCCCGTAATGTGCTTTTAGATCCCATTAAACTATTGTCAGAGTGCATTCACCAGAAGTTGAAAAAGGTACTTAATAATTTGCACATTAGAGCTGCTAATGAGAGGAGCTATGCCATCAACCTTATCTTCCAATTCCAAATAGCTTTAGCTTTTGATAAAGAACTGTCTAATGCAGTGATACCAGCCTGGACTTCAGCTCTTGGATCTGCTGCGTAAATGATGGCCAGTATAAAAGTCTCAGAAGAATGTCAGCCTGTAGTTACAGGTGTAACTCTGTATGTTGATTTTATTTGTCCTTTTATCTTGTAGATTAGATGGTGATAAAATGGTTATAAAATGCTTATAATAAGTGTAAGGTTAACAAATTAAAAAAATACCTCCTCTTTGCAGACCCCCTTCCCTTCCCCCTCTTCAGTGAGAAAGCTGAGTTCTGTGGCTGCCCAAGGGAAGAAAGGAAGATTCAAATAAGTATTTATCTTCCTTCAAGAATGTTAGATTCGGTGCTCCAGCAAATCTTCCAAACATTGATTCTTGAGATTACATGGGTCAGAACAGTTGAATATAAGACTTCATAATCAGAAGACTCCATAAATACAGCGTAGGAGCACAAACCCACAGAAAAACCACCTCAGTACATATGGCAGCAGTTTCTGTGAAATCCGTCTAGTACAGACATTGGCATCAGGACACCTTTGGCTTTTTAAACAGATGTGAATGCCATTGCTGTCGCTGAAAATACGTTGACTCACCAAAGGAGAGAGAGTTCTTTGCCTTTAATTTCCCTCGGAGAAAATTTTGAAGCCTTAAAAAATAATTCTGGAAGTTTATGTCTTGGCAGCTTCTTTACTGGGCTACAGTGGCTTAGATGAATGATTCTGGAGACTTTTCAGAAGCAAAATATTTAAGTTGAGGCTGATCCTTCTCAGGCAGATTTATAACACTTTCAGCAAATGCATTCTTAGGCATTCAAATGCAATCTCCTACCTGGAACTCCTGCCTGAACATCTGGAAGGCAGATGGCAGGGAAAGCAAGCAAACTTTTATCTACTTGTTTGCAGAATGGAGAAAAAATTTAGGGTTGATGTGAATAAAAGATAAAATATTGTCATCTGTCCTAAAAACAAGTTTGTAAGAGTGCTTGACTATCAATAAGAGCACTTTTTGAAATTGCACTGGGGATATATGTCTTACATCTTCACACACAAAACAAGAATGCCTAGGCGACTGGTCCCTTACTCTTTCCTAAAATATTTCCTACTTTACCCTCTAAACATCCCCTTTTTCTCCATTAGCTCAGGAAGCTGCTGCTGCTGCTGCCCGATCTATGTGAGGAGCAGCTACCATTACGTTTGTCTACCAACAGGGACTTGCCGTTGTCTGCAAGTATGACTTAGTGACAGGTTATTATCAATAAGCCAGAAGATAAATCCCTGCAATTCTGCTTGACAGATGCTATGTTATTCACTGTTCTCCTGAGTTTTGGTGTGTATTTATTTCATCATCATGCTAATGTGCAAAACAGTCAATACAATAACTCAAAATGATCGTCTGAACCATTCACTTGAACTGCAACCATACTTTTTTTTTTTAACAAATTGTGGTGCTTTTCTTAAGTAAGAATATAAATGTAAGTTGAGCACATTTTTAGTGTGTACCTGCAGAAATACGTAATTAAATTTACAGCTAAGAAAACTGTAAGTGCGTGCAACCATCGTTCCGAGTGTATCTCGTGTTTAGTCTGAGGCCTAATGCAGTGTTTCTGTCCACATTGCTAAAAAGATGCAGAGCACGTTTTCTTGCAGATTTTTTTTTAAATATGGGACTTTTCTATCCCATTTTGATATTTCTCCTTCATTTTGAAGACATACTTTGTGAATATGGAGTAGAATTCAGTTATCTATGGTATTGCTTGAATGATCTGAATACTGATCTAAATAATAGGTATGATTTGATTGCTTTTAAAATATGTTCTTTTGATAATGAACCAAATTAAAATTATTTTTGTTTTGTTTAAACTTATATCAATGAAATATTAAATAAGGCGATGACACAAGTCTGCACTGTCTGGGCAGTTTTCCGTCTTTGCCCACCGTGTGTAACCTGTGTTGTTATCTTGCACCATCTAGCGGCGAAAATTGGATGGATAAAAATAAAAATGCAAGCTGATAAATCATCCAAGATGTAATAAATTCTGCTGTGGGCTTTTTGAAAAGGAGCTCTTCAAACAATCATTCCTGACACTCAGAATGAAGTGGGAATTCTGCAATAGTCCCTTTAAAATGCCATGAAAACAATGAATGAGTAAAAAGCGAAATGCATCTACATTTTTACATTTACTACGGGTTTACTGTGCCAGCTCAAGTGTTACTATTTTCTGTATTCTGTTTTATATCCTTCTTAGCCTTTACAGAGTTCAGTAACAGTATTTACTGTTTCTGCAGCATTAGCCCTTTTGTTTCAGACTGTGCTGATACTTTGACAAAACAGCGGTAGAACTAATCTCACATTGACAGACTGAAAACGGGTAGTTAGGTCACTGGAAACCCCAGGAAATTGGGTTAACTGAGTGGTGTAGTCTTACTTGTGGCAATGCAGGGTTGTGGGGAGGAAGGGAAGCTACGAAAGTGTTGCTGGATCAGAAACCAAGGTTTGCTACTTAAAAAATACAAAAAGAAAAGCATAATTAGAATTGGTCAGAAAGGGTACAATGTTTTTTTCTCAGATTGGCAGGAAGAACATTATAGGGAGAGAGAATAGCTTTAATTTATGTGATGAATACAGCTTTTTTGGCATCCTTAGACCACTGTGGAGACAATAACGTTACAATGCAAACATAAGCATGCATTAATCCGTGTCCTGCTCTCTATTTGCTGACCTGCAGGGAAGGTTAGATGTTTTACTTAACCTAGTGCTGGGATGAATCTTAAAACACAGCAGTTTCTAGAGCACCCTGCCAGTGGTTCCCTTTTGCTATTTTAGGAAGGAATTCAGTTCAATTTGGAAATTAATTTCTTGTGTGTAAATACTAAGCTCATGGAAATAATGCAAATAACTATTAGTTTATTATTGGTGCCTATATTCTGAAGAGAAGCTTGATGAGTTAAGTGAAACAAATATGCTTTAATATGGCCAAATTCAGTGTGCCCATACTTCAAAGAGAGGAATTGTATTTGGTGAAGTATTGACAAAAGAACAGGTCATTATGCAGTTCTGCAAAATGAACAGCGAGGATTTGTAAGCGGGCAGATAGTGAAGTGTTGGTAGTGTGAGGTCTCAGCCGTGATCTGTTCCTCTGGAACATCATTGGTGGCTCTGATCCTGTAATGCCGAGGACAATGAGAATTTAAGTAATAGGTAAGAGGAAGCTTTCTGATCTTGTTAGGCTTTGTAAAAGGGTATTCTGTGGGAGGAGATTAAAGGAGCCTGACTTATTTTAGTTCATTGAAAAAGACTCTAGGAAGATTAATGAGGTTGCTGCCCAAAGGTAATACATCATGGAAATAATTGAGGAGGAAGGAAAGAGCTGGTTAAGCTATAGGATAGCATTGAAATAAGAACAATGGGTATGAAAAAACTTTACCCGTTGGACTCCAAGTGTAAATTACAAGGTTTCTAATCATTAGTTTAATGCAACTATTGAGTAGCTTTCCAGTGACAGCAGTGAAACTACTGTACTGGGTTGAAACAGGGTATGTTTCTAGACAGCGTTGTTGCCTGCAGTAGCAGAGGAGAAAGCTTAGCAGTGCAGGGGCCCTTTCTCATCAGATGTTTCCACTGCGGTGTGGAACACGTCCCATGTTTCTATAAATACTCCTTGTGGACTTTACCGGGAAAAATATCGTCACTCTCAGGCCAGTCAGCGGCACCAGATACTGCCCTGTGCCCTCTGGACTGGCCGGCTGCATCCCATGCCAGGTTCTGCGCGGGGTAGGCCCCAGAGAAAGCTGTGCTGCCTCTTGTGTCCATGGTTCTTGCTGAAGGGGGCTTGCCCAGAAGCGAGCAAGCCAGTGTGCGCAGGGTAGAAAACGGTCTCGGCTAAACTGATGCTTTCATTATGCTGAATTGTTATTTAAGCATAGTCAATACCACCTGCACACAGACATGGTGCAGTATTGATGAGTTTTTTTTACTGTAGGTGTAACAAAAGCAAGAAGCTTGCGGTTGAAGGATTAAAGTGGGAAGTAAGACACATTTTTAACACCTGTTGTAATTCAGGTTGTCCTGTCTTATCAAGGAAAGTGGTAAATACTCCATCACGTGGAGTCTTTACAGCAGGATTGCCTGTCTCTCTACAAAATGTGCTCTAACTCATCTATGGATTTATTGAGTTAAATACAGGAATCTCCAGACAGATTCCTCTGGCCTGTGTTACCTGGCAGGTCACACATTTACAGATCTTAGTGTTCTCTTTTGGCCTTAAAACCCTATGAATCAAGCAAAAATGTGAATGCTCAAAAGCACTGAGAATTTTTAATCTTACCACTTTGCCTTTTGCTTAGTACTGGAACAGTTCACATTATTAGGTAGAATGTTACAGAAGAAGCTATTCACATGTTTAATTATCTGAGCTCTGAAGTGGTGATCATTATGACAGACTGAAATACAGATTTATTTAGAACAAAAATAATTCAAAATTGCTGACTTCAGAGAGTAGAAAACCAAGCTTTTTTAGGTAATAAACTCCAGTGGTCAGCTGTGCTAGCAGCTGGAGATCTAGGTCTGAAAAGTGGATGCCATAGAATGTGCTTTTATGAGTAAACAGAAACGCCCTACTTTTATAACTTATTGTAATCTTTTACCTTTGAGGTGAGTATTCTTGAGTATATTCTAGTGAACTTCAAATGTACACATCACTTACTAGAATGTTTTGCAGTTCAGTTTTACGGTTGCAGCACACAGGATGAAAGTTTACCCAGATGATGAAAACTGTTATGTTTCCAGGTGGTTGAGCTGAAGCCGGGTGGAAAGGACATCCCCGTTACCAGCGCTAACCGCATTGCATACATCCACCTCGTGGCAGACTACAGGTTAAACAAACAGATCCGACAGCATTGCCTCGCTTTCCGCCAGGGACTGGCCAATGTTGTGAATCTGGAGTGGCTTCGAATGTTTGATCAGCAGGCAATACAGGTACTTCTGCTTAAAACTGCAGAAAGCAGTTGCTTTAAACTGCAAATAAATGTGAGTTTTTGCCTGTAATGTATATGTTTAATTTTCTTCACTATTAGGTTTTGATTTCTGGTGCCCAAGTACCTATTAGTTTGGATGATCTTAAATCTTTCACAAACTATTCAGGTAAGTATTTCTTACTTAGATAAAACAATGATTCAGGAATAAATTTGCTTTCTATCACAGCTTTTTAAATAAAGTTTTGAGGTTATTCTTGTTAACTTTGGTTGTTAACTTTGGCCAAACTCTCTAGACAGGACTGAATTTCAGAAGATGGGGTAAAATTACAACCTAACTTTATTAATGCCGAGATATAGGTATGCAGTTCATTTTATTCATGCATTTAAATACAAGTTTGTAGCCAGATAATTATAAGACATGGAACTCCTTTTCTAAATGCATATTAGTCAGTGGTTGTGTATGTTTGCCCTGAAAATAAGTCTGCAAATGACTGGGATGATTGTGTCTACCGACACATTCAGATACTTCATTTCCATAACATCATCAGTGCCCATGCTATCTTACCTCTAGGTAAGCTGATTCATTCAATAACATCCTGAGTCTTGTGCGTTTTGTGAAGTTTTGCAGTAAAAGGCAGTAATCCAAAGTTACTAAGTAAATGCTAAAGTAAATAAAATTAATGTAAAGTAAACAAATAGGATTCAGTGTAGTTAAGATGATGAGGGAGATAGCAGCCATAGGTGAGCTATGAATGAGAAACTCAAAATGCAGTGATCAAAGAGATCTATAGATAACGCAAGTCAGCGGTGCCAGCCTGCTGGTCGTAATATTTTCCTGAAGTTTTTCAAGATTGATGCTAGGTTTTCTGAAGAGTTTCTTTTTGATATAAAACTGTTCTATCTATAAATCATTTAAATCTCATTATAGGTGGCTACGCAGCAGACCATCCTGTAATTAAAATATTCTGGAGAGTTGTAGAAAGCTTCACTGATGAAGAGAAACGCAAACTCCTCAAGTTTGTAACAAGCTGCTCTCGACCACCTCTTCTGGGGTTTAAGGTTTGTGTCTTTCTGACTTGTTGGCAAATTTCTATAAATACCACAGATTACGACAAACTTTTCTTGTTCGTCGGAGTTTACAATTTGAGAACAGAAACAGCTTCAGTGTTTGCACTTGTGTGTGTAATGAGTATGGCTTTAAAATACTTCATGAAATGTTGTTCTTTTGTTTTTTATTTTAACTGCAAAATTTGATAAGCCTAAGAACACATGGGTTAGAGCACTTACTCTTTGTCATGGAAGATCCTTGCTGCCATTTGATGTTACTGTACAGAAGCAGCATTGCTACCAGTTTCAGTGAACTAAGAATAATGTTTTCAAATTGGGCAAAAGAGGATTTAAGGTATTAAAGCAGCTATTAAATTTGAACCTCTTAAATTAACCAAGTAGGCCATGTATAGTTTCCTTCTGATTATAATTTATCTGCTTTTGCTGCTATCTTTAGATTGCTGTTTAATGTGAAGCTTAAGTGTGAAGAAAACTTCTGCCTACAGCTTATAAAACTAACGAGAGGATGAGGCAAGCTGTAGACATTTTGAAATGAAATTTTGGGGATATTCTACCTATGAGTTTCAGCTGGGCTGCAAAATTCTGGCTAAGAACTGGCCACAGACTTCATTTCCTCTAACGTGTGGGAACATTCAAGGCTTTTCTGTAAGAAAATAAAAGAATCAATTGCTTCATAGCAGCTCCATCACCTTTAGTGCAGTGGTCATCAACATGTTTACTATTGTACTATTTAATAAAATTAATATGAAGGTGGGTTTATGTGGATCATAAATATAGGCACTGCATCATCCAGTTGCTTACAAATACTTGTTGCTAAACAGAGTTTGACTACATGTACTTAGTAAATTTTCACATCATAAGGTACCATGACACAATATTTAATTAGCAGTGGATAGTAACCAGTTTCCTACGTTTATAGGCAAAACAGGTAGATGAACCCGTAAGAAATGAACAGAGGTATTGTGTAAGTCCTGAAGGTTTATTAGCTGTTTTGTACAATAATACTATAATTATTCTGTTCATTTCCTCATTAGAGAAATACTTCAGGGACAGGTAGTAATATTTTACATGGGAACAAGGAATTAAGATGTGTATGGTAGTCTGGAGGTAGAAACAATGTATTTGGGATTTTGCACAATTTTTTCTCGAATCATATATGAAAGTTCATTCAGGTTTTTTGTTGTTTGGGTTGTGTTTATTTTTGTTGTGGTTTTGTTTTGGTTTTGTGGGTTTTTTGTTTGTTTTTAATCAGCATTAAAAAAAATGAAGGCAAATGCTAGCAGAGTTTCTTTGCAGCTCTAGAGATTGGGTCCTTTCTTGTGATGTGTCCTGGGGATGACATGTGATAAAGATGCCAAAAGTAAAAATTGAAACAAAACCCCCAGCTTTATCTTCCATGCACATAACTTAGACATTTGCAGTACACAACACTGGTTTTTCGTCTTCAAACTTTTGTTCATTTACTTTTTGCATAAAACCAGTTTTCCTCTGGAAAATTGACAAGGTGACACTGATACTGAAGTCGGTGTCTCTGTCACACACCTTTGCCACTTGCATGATTGAAAATATATAAAAGTCTATGTGGGCTGTCATACAGTAGTAGTATGTGGATCAGTTGCTAGAGGTGATGAAAGAACGCCCCCAGTAGCTTATAGAACTTTTTAATTTTAAGCTGCAGAGCCATTTTGACGTGGAAGAGTTGTTTCTAGTGCCACATCGTGCAGGGAAGCATGGCCCTTTTCCCTTGACTTTCATCTGTTCCACTTATGCTGCAGCTTCATGTTCTCCTTGCTTTTCAATCCTGTTGTTTATTTTCCTGTTTCTTGGTAAGCTGATCTGGATATGCAGCATTGCCATTGCACTGTGTGGTCGTTTAAACCTTCTTCTGGTTCAGTCGTTCTGTAACCCTCTCTCTGGTCTCACCCTCTGCATAATCCCTTCAGCTGCTGTAGCAAGTGCTGTGTGGTGCTGTTAGCGTGTGGCTGGGTAACGTATCCTCCAACTTAAATGTCTGTAATCTGTAGCTCAGCTGCACTCTTTCTGTAGGCACCTAGGAGAGAAATGAGCACTTCCAGTCGGTAATTTGTTTGACTGTTTTATGTGTCTGCTTCCGGATGTAATGAATCTTGTCTGAGATTCCACAAAACATACAAACTAGATCCCCTTTAGTAGTAGAGTGCACCTCGGGTGACTAGATTTGGATATGGAGGCAGTAGAGATGACTGTTTAAACACATGGATCCTATCTAGGGTATTCACGGATTAATTTTTCTGACTATTGAAAAGCCTGCAAGCATTTCTCTTAAGCTCTCCAGGCCTGTGTGAATATCACTGTACAGTCTCCTGACTCCATCAACAAACAGGATTTTACAGGGCAGTGGAAAGAACTATTGGAAAACTGTGGGATGAGACCGAGCTAGATGAGTGCACATCAGCCATGTAATGAACAGAGAATTGGGAAACAATTGTGTGGAAACAGAGTAAAGAGAAGTCTCCATTTGTTGTCATCCTTTTTAATTACAAGGGGAGAGCAGGAAATGCAGATGTAGCTACCCGGCTTTGAGGTAGCCAGCGTGACATTTGAAGAGATGGAGGAAGTGAATCAAAAGTCTAAAAATACGAAGGCTGACAGAGACACATTAGAGACAGGATGTAGCGAAGTCAAATGCGGAAAGCTGAAGTTTGTGTACTTGGGAGATAGGCCACAACCTGACTTTAACATACTTGGCTAGGAAAAAATGGAAGTAAAATAGTCATCAGATTTTCAGCATAATAGCAGTAAGTTAAAAGATTAATTCACTGTACAATGGACTTACAAGCTCAGCCACATGCAGCAGTCTTGGCAACAGAAAGCAGAGTGAAAAGGCATTACTGCTGCTTTACTGGGCAGCGCTGAGCGGGTGCTGGGTCAATACTTGTGTGGTGCTTGCAGCAGTATCTTGTTAACATGGATTTACCAACAAACCAAGGGTTTGCCAGGAAATGTTTGCCAGAAAAGGAAGTGGGTAATGGGTATTGTCATCAGCAGTGATGTATTGGGAGCCTGTGACAGTGCGTTGTTCAGAGCTTTCAAGGTGAAGAGTGCACAGCCTCAGGAGGGCTTGATATTATGAGCCAAATGACTGTCCAAATGTATTTATGTTGATGGTAGACATTAACAAAAGCCATCTTCAACATATGTTTACAGTTTTAATACAGGTACTACATTTTTCTGAGAGGAACACAATGTATGGTTCTCACTCTGAACTCTCCTGCATGCTCTGTACTGTGGAACCGTCACGTTTTCTTACAGTTAGTGCTGCTTAATTTAAGAATGTCTTGACATTCGTAGCCTAAAGATAGCACAGTCTAGCTTTGCATGATTTAAAGATTTTAAACTCTCTCTGCCAGATTCAGACTCAGAATAACATTTACTAAAGCTAATTAAAGTTTAATAAGTTTAATAAATGTGATTGTTATGGACCAAAAAAAAAATCATTAAAGCATGGTTGAAAATTGTTAAGTTCCAATCAGGTCAAATAATAAATTGATGATACTTTTCACTTCCAAACTATTGCAGTTTCCCGCTGTACAGTATTTAATTATGCAACAAATGGTACCCTTGGTATGACATTTCAATTTAGAACTTCATTTTTCCATTTTTAAAGCTCAAGTAGGGGAATTCAATTAGCATTTTGAAAGGAACACTAAAAATGCAGCATTTTAGCCATGAAATACTTTTTAAGGCCTCCATTTGAACAATAATTTAGGTTAGAATCTAATTGACCTTCTGCCTTTAGAGCTGGGAAGTTTTTTTCCCAGTTTCTAAAATGAGACTTGTTTTACCTCAGGCAAGCATTTGATAAAATTAATTCTTTCTTGCCAGCAAAAGCAGTGCTTTAGAGGTAGCAGATAAGGAACTTTTTCACTATAGTCTTTTCTCAGAAGAAAAAAGCAAACAGGTAACATTAAAATAATTACATATTACATACAAAGTATCTTAAAAGTCTGTTCCTCAGATCACTGTTTATCATATTTGAAGAATAATCAGGGTTTGACAAGTTTGTCATTACAGACTCACTATGCACATCAGTATCATCCCAATAACAACGTAGTGACTTTATAATCACTCTGTGAAGAAACACCGAGTATAATTGCTTTAAATGACGTTAGATCTTTATGTGGAGAATGTAAAGTACCTCTTGATTCAGAGTTCTGGACCACGGTAGTGCAAGCACTTGCTTAATCTTGCACATGCACAGATCCACTGAAGTCATTGGTACTGTTTGTCTTGAAATTCACAAATTTTAGGCTTGCTGAAAGATTAGACAGATATCCCTTTGGGGCAAGAAATGCCTTTAGCATTGTATCGGACAAATAGTTCTAACAAAGAAATTATCATCGTGTATTGTGGTGAGTAGAAGGAAAATGATGGCTTGGTACTCATCCGCTTGAAGAATTTATGTATCTGAGGTATGCTGACAAACTAGAGCTCTAGAAGGAAAACACTGAAAGGATGTGTTTGTTGGTGAGTGTTTTATGTTACAGAAATGGATGTAGTACTATAATTTGTACTTGGATCTGGTCACTCATTCATCCTCTTTCTCCTCAGCGTCACTTTAACATGACAAGTAGAGAATTTGTGCATAAAACTGGCATAGCACATCGTTAGCTAGAGCAAAATTCCCTTTGTTAGGATTTTTGTGTACATAAAAAATGTCTTCCCTACCTGAAAAGAAAAAAACGACAAAACAAAGTATAATTCTCAGAAGAAGCTGTGTCATTATACAGTGACAAATATAATTCAAACACAACACAACATCCTTTTCGCTTACCTCTGTTGCTGGTGGTGGTGGTCTGTAGTTCCCTGTGTTCAGGATGTATTGCACTGTCAGAAAACTTCAGCGTTGCAGGAACCCATCATTGTCCTGCTGCTGCGGAATAAGCAGCGTCCGTGGGCATTTGGGAGGTCTGTGAGGAGTCTGAAGTTGTGAATCCCAGTTGTTTCTCCCAAATACAACGATAAATTTCTTGTATGCTGCTGCACTACTTTTTCCATTTCACGTTTCACTCTTTTTGTAGCATAAAAAATTTGCTGAATAGAGTGTAAGAACAATAACAAATTATGAATTATTATTTTTTCCTTAGAAGTGGATAAATTGCAAATTAAGGGATCTTGGGAGGGGATGAGGTGGAGGCACTACACAATGCAGGAGTGCTTTTGGGGCCACCAGGAATGAACGAAAATGCCATTTGAGTGTTTCATTGTGAGATTTCAGTCTAACGAGTTATTTCTTAGAAGTCTGTGCCAGCTGTTACAGGGTAGGCTTTGGCTTGTATGTATTTTTGATATGGCTTCTTTTTTTCTTTTGCATTTTTCAGGAGTTATATCCTGCATTTTGCATTCACAACGGAGGATCTGATTTAGACAGGCTGCCTACTGCCAGTACCTGCATGAACTTGCTGAAGCTTCCCGAGTTTTACGATGAAAATCTGATGCGAAGCAAGCTTCTTTATGCCATTGAATGTGCTGCTGGATTTGAACTGAGCTGAGTCGAACGGATGCTTATTTGGATGATGTGCAGAGGAACTAACCAGTGCCTACTCCATAAGCAGCACCTGTACCCAAGCAGTTTTAAGGGAATTCTGTCTAGATTTTTGCAGCTCTTGTGTCTTTTCAGATGCCCTCAAGCAGGTTTCATTTTTAGCCATGATTTCTTAGTTAGCTTTCATGAATTAATATTACATTGACACTGCTTTATGATTCAAAACAATGAATGCTGTGTGCAGTGTGGCTGTTTTCTGTGTTGATGCGAAGAAAGAGCACATCTCAGTGAAATTAACCAAAGATGAAGCTTTGGCTTTGTGCTGTTCAAACAGAAATAATTTCACAAACTGGCAATAAAGTTGTGTACCGTGCAGCACACTGGGGTGAGACAGGGCTAACATCCTGTAATTAATCTTGGAGATGGAAGTGAAGCAGATGTTTGCAGATATCCCAGAACTGAGAGGATGAAAATGCTCATTACCAATAACGTAACATCTTTACTTACGTTGTAGAATTGTTTACAAATGATAGCTGTTGCAGAACTGACTTTGTTTCATACTACCTTCCCTCAAGATGGTAGGCACTGAGATAAAATGTTTATAATATTCAGCTTGCGCTTTCTGAAATAACTTGGAGAAATTGGATTTGCATTATTTTAAGTTCAACCTTTGGCTGCGTCATTATCACTTGAACACTGTCTTAAATGGATGTGACATCCATGTTTTCTCTGTTCTGTTTGTCTTTTGTGCCTGTACAGACATTTTTTTTTAAATGTATCAGACTCCTATTGCATAAACAGCACATACAAAAGTCATCACTTTGGAAAAATATACATGTAACAATTATTAAAATCATTTGAACCAAAGTTATCAGGCTTTATCTTTTATGTTTGAAGCCTGTGGTGTTCACATTCCTTTTCCCTGTCATTTCTTTCCATCTTAAACACCGTATCTGTGCCGTAGACACTAGTCAAATTCATTATTTTTTTGTGATTAAACAGCTTTAATATCCATCTGCCTGCAGTATTTCTGCTAAGAAACGTAGGTGGGAATATGCTGCTTAATATAATTTGGTATCTGGGAAAAATCTGCTTTCATACGGAAGGAACTGATCCTCTGGTAGTAGGCACATCCTTGGGTATTTGTATGCAAACTGCAGTCAGTTTAAAATAGGAATTCTAGTTCAAACTGTAAGATTCCTAAGTTCATCCCTCTGAACTTTAGTTTTATATTTTAAATCATCAAAATTTACAATCAAATTTGTATTCATCTCTTATGCAAAAAAATATTTTGCTGTTACTGGAAACTGTTGGATTTCATATTTAATAAGCAGTAACCAGCAATATCCTTTTAAATGTGGGGAAAGTGAGTGATTTTAAGATGTTTACTAGTAACCATATAAAATGTATAATTTCTTAATTTGGGTAATAAATGAAGTGTTAAAATACTATTTGTAGTCTTGATGTACAGAAATAAAATGATTGGTTTTCTTTTTGGTTTTGCTTTAGGCTTTTTATTTATGTTAAATGTTACACAACCAACCTATTCTTTGTCCCAAAATTCTTTTCTTGTATATTTTTCTACATAAACTATGGAATTGTAAAGAAGTTGAAAAAGAGATCAGTAATAGTGGAACTGCCTCCTCCTCATTGCAAAACCTGAACACTTCTTTCAGATAGCGTTATTTATTTTAGAACCTAATGCTTTAAATATTTTGAAATTATTTTTCAATTCCATTATTTTGCTACATTGGGTAGTGTTGTATCTGTATTTTGTAAAATTAAATTTAAATTTTCTATTAAATATTTGTGTTTTGAAGATTGTGTTGAAGTCCCGCCAAGTAATCATGACTGGTAAAGTACAGTTTCTGCTTTTGTAAAAGGAGACAGTGCACACTATTCCTGGCTGTTACCATGGGAGAGCGGCAGCTGGGGGAGTGTGAGTTGCAGAAAACTTCAGTAGAGAATTTGAGTTTGCTGAAAATACTCTTGACTTTATTGTTTTCAGTAAATAGCACTTGGTGATCTTGTTTTGTATATTCTGTACATTAATTATGCCGTTCTGACGTACTCAAGTCAGTGGGGTTGTAGCCCAGGTTTCATTCTGCAGGAAAATCCATGCTGCAGCAACTTGCACCACCTTCCGCCAGTATCCAGAGTGCAATAAGAGGAGGGTAGGGCTTTCCTTGGCCAGCGAGTGCTTTCAGTTCTGACTGTCGGCTGCTTTCAGGTGGTCAGGATGAAGCACGAGTCCCTGCTTTTCAATGATCTATTGCTGGATATTTTAAGGAACAGGAGATAAAGGTAGGAGAAGTCATACAGGTGTAGATAGCCACGTCCTGAAGAGCTGGGGGGTCTAAATGATCTCGTAGCTCTTGCTTATACATGAAAATTGATTTTCTGTTTTTGAAAAGAAGAGTGAACTCTCTCCCAGTTGTGATCCTACCAAAGTTTAGGTAGGCAGAGACAGGAAGCACTTTGCATGAAAGTAACCAGAAATATTATTGCAGATTTTGATCATCAGAATCATGGCAGTAATAGTTACAGGTTTGGGGTTGTTTTCTGTGCAAGACAAGGTTTCCTTCAAGTTCATTTCTCTTCTTCAGTGTTTTGCCCTCCTAGTTCAGTATTTGCTTTCTGAAAAATAACTGCATTTTCTGTTTAGTTTTTGTTTTCAAATAATTGTTGGTTTATAACTTTATTATAAACTGTTTTAAAACCATTTTTGTCAAGTTTTATCTTTACGATTGAAGAAGTTGGGAATTCTTCATCTCTTCAAAGTTAAAAAGCATAGAAGTGAAATAAAAAAAAAAATTAAAATTAGTACTTGATTTATCACCATGAGAATTTTTCTGGATGTGGGTTTATTGCTACTAGCTGGATTAAAAAATATAACAAACCAGAAATTATTGACCTGGTCCTTAACCTCAGTTGTCTTCCATCATGGTCCTGAAAGCCATGCTTGCATAAATTTCACAAAATTCACTCGTGTTTCCTAGGGAAAATTTATGTCTACAGAAGAGGAAAGTTCAGTATCATGCAGGAACACTGAGCTGACAGAAGTTTGATTTGAACAACAAGGATATCTTCAGTTATTTTTGTGTGTGGTGCTCCATAATTTAAAAAAAATGTGCTTCCTGATGCTCTTAGTAGCAGTGTGGACAAGCTTTTTGTGCATCGCTTGAGTAATCTAGCACAAACATCCTAATTTGATCTGTAAAGGTGTTTGGAATTCAAAGAAAACACTTTTGAGTGCAGTGAGCTCATGCTAAATTTCAGTTTAAACCAAAACCTGTTTGTTAAATTCCAGTGAGACAGCACATACCATTGAAAAATAGTACAGCACAGAAACAAAAAGGAAAAATCAAGAGCTGTTTTTCTTGGACTGTTATGTTGGAGCTGTATTTTTTTTTGTATTTATAATTATATGCAAAAACTTTAAAACATTTGCTCATATACATGAATCTGTGTCAGAAATGGTTTGTGATGTAAATGCCTGTTACAGTTTTTTTTCATGATGCTTTGCCTGTCAGTGAAGGAGAGAAGAAATGAACATGGTCTGTAAAACTGATCAGGATATCTATATTTTTATTGACTTCTGCTTTTGTGAATAAAATAATTTGAGTTTTCTTGAAACTTTGCAGAAACACTCTTTTTTTTTTTTTTGCAGTAAATTGGGCATTCTCTTGCTAAGGATTGGCAGTATTGAATGGGTTCTAAAAGGGAGGCTAATACTGCTTGGTGGTCTTGGAGTTACCACTGCTTCGGGGTGACTTGTAAGTGCAGTTTTTGTGCTCTGAAGCTCCCTCGCTGTAAAACTGCAGCTGCCAGGTTTAGCTGTGTTTCAGTATGTTTTTCAAACAACGCAGCTGAGATCGCTGATGGGCTTTGAAAAACTTCTTCAGAAGCTGTAATTCGCAGTGACAAATGCTACTCTGTCAGCAAACATGTACAAAAACCATCTCTTTCAGCTTCTTCTGGAATGTTACATAATTAAAATATCTGCTTCCCTTTGCTTTTCTATTATTTCCCTTGCTAAATACACTTTTAATTCCATGATAGCATTTATAAAATTAGTATTGTGCATGTTTATTCTGGAATACTTACAAATAGTACCTGTATTCTTCAGCTTATCTGCCACTAAAAATGTGGTAAACAGAAAACTCCTCTTGTGGGGCACTTCATAATTCATTGCAGGAATAGAACCCAAATGCCCAGGTACCTTGCCTGTTTTCCAGTATGTATCTGGTTGTCTGGAAAGCTCACAGAATTTCTGATGGGTGTAGGGAGACAACACAAGGCAAAGAGTTTCACAGAGCACAGAATGGCTGAGGTCCCCAGGAGTGGCTGGAGATCACTTGTCCAAGCCCCTGCTCAAACAGGGTCACCAAGAGCAGGTTGCTCAGAACCTTGACCTGTGGGGTTGGGAATGTCCCTGTGGATGGAAACTCCACAACCTCTCTCTGCAGCCTGTCCCAGTGTTCAATTACCTTTACAATTAAACATTTTTAATCAGGTTTAAGCACAACTTATTTATTGTATTCCAGTTTGCGCCCATTGCCTCCTGTCCTGTCACTGGGGCAGTACTAAGAGGAATCTGAGCCTTCTCTTGGCTGAACAACCCCAGATCTCAGCCTTTCCTCACACGGCAGATGCTCCAAAACTTAAATCATATTTGTGACCCTGTGCTGGACTCTCTGTAGCGCATCCACCTCTCTTGTACTGGACCCAGCACTCCAGATGTGCCTCACCAATGCTGTGCAAAGAAGAATCGCTTCTCTCAATCTGCTGGCAGTGCTCTTCCTGATGGAGCCTGGGATACTGTGTGCTGCCTTTGCTGCCAGGCCACCTGGCTGGTTCACCTTCACCTTGCCTATCAGGAACCCCGGGTCATTTTCTGCTAAGCTGTTTTCAGCCGGTTGGCCACTAGCCTGGACTGCTTGCATGGGTCTGTTCCTCTCTGGGTGCAGAACTCTGGGCAGAATTAGATGAGTACTGAAGTCTGGAGACATATTTCTTCCTTTCACAACTTTACTGGCCTGCTAAGTTATTGTAGAAGATGTTTCACTTTTCATTTTTCTATTTTGAGGGAGTGCTTTTTTAAAACAAAGCTCTTGGCCCAGCTTTACTCCATCTCGGTGTCAGTGATTCATTCACAAGGGCTATACCTCTTAGAAGAGCTGCAAATGTTGAGGTATGTGGAAATTCCTTCCAAGAATAATGCTGTCATGTCTTTGGAATAAGGAATAAAAGCAGAGAATTTTCCTAAGGAAAAATAGAAGACATTCCGCTCCATTCTACGTAGATATGGCTTTGTTGTTCCTATATAGGTGACTTGGTAAGACCCAAGTAAACAATTCACAGCAGCAAAAACTGTTTCTGCAGATTTTTCTCCACGTTTAACTACGCATAATATTTATCAAGTGTGATCTTGTTTCTTGTACAGATTATAACTAAAACCTGCTATCTACAGTTAAGTTTAATGTGCCTTGTAAGCATCCCATATAATGAAAATTTATTATTACTGTAGTAAATGAGCAGGGCAAATATGGGAAATAAGATGTACAGCTATGTAGAGAAAAATCTAGACGGTGAAAACTACCTAGCACTTAGGAGTGCGTCTGTTTTAATTAGGTAAAAGTACTTTTTGAAGTTACTCTGACAAAGCAAGTTGACTTAAGGATTTGCAGACTTCAAAATGAAGTTCTTTCTTATCTTGGATATTGGCTTGTACTGCCACACTGCCTTTGACTCATATCAGATGTAAGCTCCAACAACATTAATTTCTCTCTGACCTGCTTGTTCAGTGAACACAGTGGCATCTTCAAAATACCTTTTGTGGAATTTTATGACTGGGGACTGA